CATCCCTGCCCGGAGGGGTTTTCTCGGGTAGCCTCTAGCCTCAGGGCCCACCCCATTGCAAGGGGCAGCTCTCTGAATACTGGGCTGCAGAGGGACAAAGCAACCAAAGAAAGCCACCCAGTCCAGGCTGAAGCTTATATGGCTAGAAGGGCCTCTCAGGGCACTGAACCCATACATATATTTGCAGGCCCCTATTATCCAAAGGGTCTGAAAAAAATCATCTGCTCCAATCCCTCTCATACACGACAGCCACAAAGCACATTACAAAAATAACCTAAAATGACCTACAGCATGTCACAGGAAAGCAGCGGGGAAGACGAGAGCACTGCCAAGGCTTGCAGCGATGAGCTAATCCTACTAAGGAAGTACATGAAATAATGGGATGAATAAATAACAAATTGGAAAAGATTACATTTATAAAACTACCAGAGGGTGGGGGGAGGAAGCATCCCATCCTGAGTTAGTGTCAAGCTTTTGGTCTCATCAGGAGTGTTCAGGGGAACAAACCAACTGAGGAAGAGTTTAAAGATGGTTTTCCAGGAATAAGGAAGCTCTCAATACAGTAGAGAATTGAGGGGAAAGAGCCCAACTGTCTCACAATTCATGCCCCTAGGACACTTCCTCCCACATTTAGGGAGAGGGTAGAATAGGGACTGGAGAGTTATTGTTTCAGGAATCAAAGAAAGAATGGAAGAACTAGCCAAGTGGGTACAAGTGCTGCCCAAGGCAGGGGGGGAAATGATGGAAACCTTGGCTCCTGTCTAGACCCAAAGGAACTAAATAAATGTCTTTTCAAGAGAGTAGAACATGCCCGGAGGCTCCAAGCAGCTTGGGAAGGAGACAGAGCTGCTGGATTAAAGTTAAACAAATGTAAACGCTGTGCAAGTAAAAGACCATACCTGCGAGACCAAGGTGTACGAGCAAGTAGCAGTAGGTAGAGGCCTGTACCAAGCTGTCTACCCTAACAAGCAAGGGAGGTGCACAACGATTCTTTGGAATGGTGAAAGGATTAAACTGAAGGAGGCTGAGGCCCCAGTCCCAAGGCATTATGACAGTAAACACAAAACTAAGTTGTTCAGAGACCTACAAACCCAACGTGGGCTGGCAGTAGAAAGTCATTGAGCTCTGATGACATCAACAGTGGTGCTGGTGTCATGGGAGGGATGGGGATCCATGCAATGTTGTAGGGCACCTTTAATTAGCAATGTTCAATTGGTTTCTAATTCAGCTAATAATAACATTAGTAACCATAGTGGTCATTCCATTCCACTCGGAAAGGATGATGCAGGTAATAATCGTTCCTTTAAGAGACTTTGACCTGAACCAGTGAGAACTAGGTGTGTGTGTGTGTGCGTGCGTGTGCGTGCGTGCGCGTGTATGTGCGCGCATGCATGTACATGCGTGCTGGAGCATTTCAAGTGAAGCAATGCAGATCTCTTAGCTCTCTCTGTAGCACTGATTTCTGTCACGCTCCGAGACACCAATGAATAGCACACACATAGAGTAGCCCTGCTGTGAGGAGTTGCATGTGCACAGATTAAGAATCATGTCAATTATGTTTCAATAAATTGCCAGGAGCTAGCGGAAGATGTTCCTAGGTGGGAGGCTACCCATTTAATGCCCTGATGCCAAGGGCACAATACACAGCTCTGAACCTCTCCTTATCCATGTCCCATGCCTCGCAGATGGCATCCAAAGTACTCCTAACTCCCCCGACCCCATTGCTGAGCTGCACTAGGCCACTGGCCCAAGCTTTCCATTATTACTCCCTCCCTGGCTCCATTGCCAAGCTGCACTCAGCCTCATGCCTTCTCACTGGGGCCTCAACTCCCACTCTGGGCTCTAGCCCCTCATACTTTCCCCCTCCTGCGGTCACTACTCTGCCCCCTCATTGGGGCTGTGGGCCGTACACCCCTTAGGCTTCAGGTGCCTGCTGATGTGCTTGGACCTCACTCTCAGCCTACGGCCCACTCGGGTCTCAGATGTTTGTCAACGTGCTTGGACCTCACTCTGCTTCAGGCCTCGGGCCTAAGGTCCTCCTAGCCTTCATGATCTTGCCCAAGCCTGGTGCTTTTCTGTTGGGGTGTGCTCCCTTAGCCTTTCCCCTCCGTGGGGTACCTGCAAAGCAGCAGGGGCTAAGGCTGTCTGGCGCCCCATACTCACCCTTCACTAGGGAGGCACAGGTGTGGCATTTCCTGGAAGCTGCCCTGCCACAAGCAGCTCCACCACGCCATCCTCCCCAGCAGGGTGTAGTTTTAGGTCACTCCCCAGGAGCAATGCAAGCCGACCTGCCCTGGTCTTTCTTCTCCCCTCCGGGCCCCTCATTCCAGCACCCTAGTGCAGCCTCCGTCTCAGACTGCGCTCCTCCTATGGCCCATCTCTCTCAGACTCATGGACAACTGGTGCCTCCCGAGTCTGGGAGGTGTGCCAGATTGCAGATGTGAGGGAGGGAGTCCCCCAGAGGGTGATTGCCGAACCAGAGGCAAAACCGGAAGTGCACTTCCGGTTTTGCAGCTGACGCTTCCAGGGGGTGCATGGCGAATCTCAGGGGGTACATGTGCACCCGCATGCACCCTCTACCAATGCTCAGACCCCTCATCAGATGCCTCCCATCCAGAGGCTGTGCTTCAGCCTTCTTCATCACAGCCCGCTGCCCAGCTGAACTGGTCCTCCCTTTGGCAGTGATGTCCCCCCATAGAAGGGACCTTCATCCTCTCTAGGCTTTGGCCCCACCTCCAGGCCAGTCAGGGTGCCAGTAGCTCTCCACAGCCCTAGCCTGCCCCTCATGGTGGGTGTGCTTGCCCTTTGGGCACTCAGGCTCTGGTCCCAGCCTGGACACCCTGGCCTCGGTGCAGCAACAGCTGACCCTTGCATTCCCCAGGGGTCTCTCTCTGGGCCCCACCATGAACAGCCATCTCCTACTGGGCTTGCCTCAAACCCCAGAGATTTTGTACGAGCCAGCCCTTCACTCAGCTGGGCTCCCCCTGGCCTCACCCCTGCCAGCTCCACTCAGGGGCTTGTCTAGCCTTGTGCAGGCCCACAAGCTATAAGCCCCTTCCTAGGCTGACCCTGCTCTCCCTAGGCCCAAAGCCTTCTCCTGGGGCTCAGGACCCCACTGGGCCTCTAGGAACCTGCACCTGCACCTACCCCAACCTCCAGGGGGTCCTGGGAGCAGCAGTGCTCAGGCAAGCAATGTGACCTCAGCAGCATCCCTCCAGCAACTGCTGGCTCTGCCCTGCAGGACCTGTTCTTATACTGAGGCTTTGCAGCCCACCTCTAATCAGGTGGCCTGCTGGCTGTCATGTGACCGCCTGATGGGCTCTGCAGTCACCTGCAGGATGGCCTCACAGCCTGCTCAGCTCCTTAAAGTGGCAGGCACCACAGGTGCACTGCCACACTGTCAAGCCAAAGATTTAGTTTGCATTCAAGGTGTATTTTTCATAGGCCAGAGATACTAAATCACAGCGTGGATTTGGGTCTGAATGTTGAGATGTAGTGGCTGAGGTCTAGTGACTTGATTTCTGGCTAATGCCCTCAGAATAAATACTAGCACCAATTTGAAATTGTTTCTTTTGTTAAACACTTGAGCCCATGGTGTGGATCGCTCATGTCTGCAAACCCTGGGTTGTTAGAAAGACAAAGAGCACAAGAGAAGGAAAAGAATATAAAACCTTGACTGCACGTCTGTGGAAATGCCTTCTTCAGTATTCAGAACACTCTTGTTTTAATGAGGTGGCAAATGGAGGAAGAATGATGGGGGAACAGGAGTGTTTCTGACTATAGAAGAAAACTTATCATTTTATTTTCTTCAGATTGGATTTGTGCTGTATCCCTACTGGGGAGGGCCATGCTGGGACCAAACCGACCAGGGCAACATTATGTTCATCACAATGTGCTTCTTCTGGCATTATTATCTAGCTGCTCCCTCAATTACAGGTACATCGTACCTGTTAGGCCAATGTTAGGCAGGGGTGGGTGGGAGGATGGTTTATATGCCTTACACAGAGGGTAGTCGGCTTGTGTTGTTGACAATACTTTTTGGTGGCAGTAAAATAGATACAGAGCTGTTTCAGCTCCATGAGGCCCTGCAAGTTTTATGATGTGCTTTGAGTGTTTGCCACTTAATGACCTGCTGAGGCCAATCTCATGAGACAGTGCAGAAGATGTAGGTCTGGTAATTATTGCCATTGAGAAAATTTTCACTGAAATGGTGTTTCAACAAAAAATAAATCAATCTGCTTTTCTCTAAATTGCCGTGCTGAAAAAATGTGTAGACTTTGACTAAATTTTGGTTGCCATAGTGCTTTGTTACGCTTGTCCAATGTTGGACATCTGACTTTTCCCCCATTTTCTAAACAGAATCTTTCAAATTTTCATTTCAAAATGAATGTCATTATTTTCATATATTATTAACATGTTTTAAACGTCAACATTGGAATGAAAAGTTTACAATTTTGAATCTAAATCAAATATTTCAATTGACTCATGACAAAATTTTTCAGAAGTTCATTTCTTAATCTTAATTTTGGGAATCTTAATTTTTTGTGTTTGTTTTGTTTTGTGTTTGCTCTATTGGTTGATTTTTTTGCTATCGATTCCAAAATTGTGGAACTTCATGCCATATGAAAAGTCTGGTTCCCACCCAGCTCTACTTATAATTAGAAAAAGAGAATACAATCGAATTATTGAACTGGTTCACTGCTACCAGATGCTAAATGTATCCCAGCTGCCTTTTATATGGGTCAGTCAGTCAAACCAATACAGTATTAGGAAGATTAGGCCTGTGTGCATTGAAAAAACATTTTCTCTGTGCATTGCGCATTGATGTGACTAAACTGATAATCATCGCTTTGGAGCTATGGTCATTTTGGGATATAATGAAAACTACCAGCAAGGAACCTCATGCGTAGTATTATTGTTTCATTTCCCTAGGCAAATGTGGTGAGATTCCAGAAATGTCTTAGCATACAGGAGGGAATATTTTCCCACTGGGTAAATTATAGGCAAATCTCAACTACGTTGAATGAAATTAATTCCTTTGCAGGGAACTGATGAAAAATGCATGCCTCACTCCAATAGGGTGACAGTGGGATTTAGGGGCAAATGTATGCTTTGTGCCAGCACTATGCAGAGGTGTGTGTCACTCCTCCTGCGGTGCTTCAGTGTTTTGTGTTTAACTGCACTTTTGTCAACATCTATTAGTTGGCAGCTGCCTTTAGAGGAGGAAGAGAAACTTTGAGTAGACAGAGCCTGAGAAAGTCAAATTAGACACTTGCTCCTATTTTATCCTATTGGATCAGATGAACAGTAAGGACTGCAAGGAATTTTAAGTGGAGGATTCTTTCTTAGAGTGAAAAGACCTCCCACATGTGCCCTGCAAATATCCTGTTTGTAGGAACAAGTGAGCAGCCTTCCTCCTTCCAAATCTTTTATGCATGGATCCAGATTTTGATGCATGTACTTGGTTTGTGGGGAAGGACAATCATTGATGCTGCTCCAGTTACTGCACAGTCAGTGTCAGTGTCTAGTGTAGACACGGCTTAGAAGTCATTTTCTGCCGCTGTGCAATAGGCCTGTGCGAAGTGGCTAGTATTCGCTTCGGATTCAGCTGATTTGGGGGACAGTGATTCGATCTGGTGATTCGAATCACTGTCCTGAATCAATTCGGCCAAATCTGATTCGGAGATTTGGCTGCTGCCGAATCTCCGAATCAGCCAGGCCCATCCCCCGCAGTCCGGCAATAGCTGCCCCACCCACCCCAGCTCCCGGCACTTGTTAACAAAAGAGCCCCGGTGCTCAGCGGGGGCTGCCGGGTGGGAGGCAATCCCCACTGGCCCCCACTGCCCCATGCTGCATGGCGGGCTCTGCACAAGCCCCCCAATCCCTCCCACCCTGCCTACCTCGATTGCTGCAGCTCTGGCCCTCCTTGAAGAAACAAAAAAAGAGAAAAACCCCACACTCCCCGTTCCTGCCAGTTGGGGGCGATCCCCACTGCCCCCCGCTGCTCCATGCCATGGGGGAGCTCTTCCATGAGCCTGCCAAAGCCCCAAGACTGCTGCAGGAGCAGTGAGTCCCGGGGCTTTTCTCTGTTTATTTTTTCTTAAAGGGCCAGAGCTGCTGTGGGCAGGGCAGCCATGGGTGGACTCAGGTGTGGGGGGCATCAGGGGGCTCGTATAGAGCGGCGATCCCCACTGCCCCCCGCTGCTCCATGCCATGGGGGAGCTCTTCCATGAGCCTGCCAAAGCCCCAAGACTGCTGCAGGAGCAGTGAGTCCCGGGGCTTTTCTCTGTTTATTTTTTCTTAAAGGGCCAGAGCTGCTGTGGGCAGGGCAGCCATGGGTGGACTCAGGTGTGGGGGGCATCAGGGGGCTCGTATAGAGCCCCCCATGCAGGGTGGGGCAGCGGGGGCAGCAGGGATCACCCCCTGCCTGGCAGCACCCAGTGAGCACCGGGGCTTTTCTTTAAACAAGTGGGGCAACCATGCTGGGGGGACTGGGGGAGTGGACAGGGGATAGGGGCTGGCAAGGGTCCCCCCCATGGTTCCATCCCCCCTTCCCCAGCCCTGCTTCCCCTACCCTCTTACTTACCAGCTCACAGTCCAGCTGCAGCTCCCTGCTGCAGCCACCGGGGACTGCCCGAATCATCAAAGCTCTCCAAATCTTTTCCAATGATTTGGAGAGCTTCGTATTGATTCGGACCTTTCAGTTGGTCCCGATTCAATTCGGATTCGGAGATTCGGGCACCTAATCAGGCCAAATCTCCTCCAAATCGAATCATCACTCAAAGCTTCGCACAGCCCTACTGTGCAATGTGGTATCTAAAGTTGCAGGTTATTGTTCCTGCTCCCTGAGTTTGTTACTGTGACTTTCAGTAAGGAGAACAAGGGAATGGCAAGCAAGACACTCTCTGGAGAGAATTTTGCATTCACTCAAAACAATGCCGCTTCAAATACCTTTGAACAAAAACAGAATATCTTCTTGTCAATACAAGCAAACAGGCACACCATCAGGAAAAGCTAACATTCCCAAAGTAGCTCCACAAAGGACTTGAAATAAAAACATAGTGGGTAAGGATGCCTGCATCTGAGCTAACTTCCAATATCCTACTGGATATAAGCCTCTGGCAGAAGACAAGCACAGTGTAATTAGGATGCTCTGGAATACCAGATGGGATCAAGGCAAACTGATTAAAGGTACAATTCTGTCTCTTCAACAAGGTAGATACGGCATAAAATAAGAGTGCAAAACATAAAACCTTCAACCTGAGGCAAGTAATAAAATGCTATGCAAGGCATCAGCTTCATAAACTCAACATCCGTTGGTCAGAAGTCAATAGCAGAAATTCAATTCGCCGCCACACAGAGTTTTCTTGAAAGAGAACTGAAACTGAGTACAGCCGTCTTGTCCATGACCTATTGAAACCATACAGCGTAGAGGCAGTGATGCTCCAGATGCGGAAGTTGAAAAGAATAGTGAGAACATTAAGTCAAAAGGCTAAACCAGATGACAAGTCAAGAGCAAACGTGGCGATTTCTAAGAGAATACAACAAAAAAGATATGGGAAGGCAACATGAGCTTCTCCAATTTATTATCTGATCCTGAGCATAAACAGAATGATGAAAAGATGTCAAAGAAATGATCTGGACAAACAGAGATTGATTAGAGGAGGTGTCTTGAAATGGCTGACTGCACAAGGGAATGGTAAATGCGTGGGCACCAGTGAACCTGAGCTCTACCTAGACACCTACTTCAATATCTAGAGAGTCTAGATCCTGTCTGTAGAGACTGACTCAAGTGTCAGCTAGCTCACCATGAACACTGGGCCCATAGAAGAGGGCTGACCAACGAGCATTGTTAATTTTCATGTTATAGTAACTATCAAGCTTGGAGGTTTGGATAATTCCTTATTTGATGAGTGGAAAAACTTCCTAATTGAAAACTTAGAGTAGTGGCAGCCAGTCTTGTTGGAAGACGTGTCATAAATGAAGCTCTTCACCCTCTTCAAGTGCTGCTCCGATTCCCTTCCCCCACCTGCTGTGCTTTCTGCTCCCTGCCCTATCTCCCCCTCCTCAGTGTGTTGCATGCCACACACACAGGCTGACCCTGCTACAGGTTGGCCACCCTGACTTAGAGACTGGTGAAAATCTGGCTACATGGTGTACACAGGTGATGTCTCACTGAGCCTAAGGCCAAGGGGCCATTCCAGATTGTCTAGTC